GTCATCATGATATGGGGGGGAAAAGTGTACATGAATGAAGACAAAGGAGAAAACAAAGCAAGCAAAAGACCGGATGAAGGGTAAGATTCCCACACAAAGGACACTGAGCACTGGGGAAACAGCAGTAGCTCTGTGTGGCCAGGGAGTGGAGGGGGTGGGGGGAGAAGTGAGCTATTGTGGCTGAAAAGGTAACAGGTAGGTGTAAACAGCAGGGCCCTGAGGGCCATGTTGGGAAGTAGGTGCTATGCAGAGAGCCGTGGGCAGGTCTCAATCAAGGGAGTAGGGTGACCAGATAAATATTTTTAAGCCTATTTTTATATTCAGTAAGCATAATGGATTTGAAGAGGGCAAGAGCGGAGGCAAGGAAAAAGAGTGAGAGGCTGACAGAACAGATTCAGTGACAGAGGAGGATGGCCCGAACCAAGGAAGGGCAGGGGAATGGACAGGTAAGAGAGGCATTTAGAAAGTGAAATGGTCAGGACCTGGTAATTAAGTGGGCAGAGGGGGCAAGAGAGGAGTCAAAGATAGTGACCAGCACTCCGGCCTGTGCTGACAGATGGATGGAGACAGGAATGGAAGGGTGAAAGCTGGTTCTGTGGGAAAGACAGGCTGAAGTCACAGGGGACATCTGAGCGAAGATGTCTGGCAGATGGAGATATGTGGTCATAAGCTTCCGTACAGCTAAAGAGGAACAGAGCAAGAAGTGGACCCAGGCATCGCCAACATGTGAGGTGCTGGTGGAAGAAGAATGGAAAAAGAAGATTAGGAAGGGGTAGTCAGAGAAGCAGGAAGAAAACCAGGAGAAGATGGCATCATGGGCACCAAACAACGAGAGCATGTTAAGACCGTGGTTAATGTCAAAAGCTGCCCAGGGGTCAATGGAGGAAGGACTTAACCCAAAGCGGTTTCTGGCAACCATGGCAAAAACAGAGGGCAGTGCAGTACAGTGGGAGCCAAGGGGGCAGTTCTAAATCCTACACCAGCAAATTACAAATGACTACAGTCTAGACGGTTAGGATACTTTGTGAAAAGGAAACCACAAAATGACTTATAAACACATGATAATAAGTGAGTCAGAAAGAAGACTTAGTATTTCTTTACAAATCACTGTCAACCCTCCACCGATACAGGATAAGGTCAGTATCTGAAATTTCAAGGGGAGAAACATCTAACACTGAACAACAAAAACAACAAAAAAACCCGGAAATTCATAAAATACTAAGCAAAAAAAGGATTCATTCCAATATTTGGGTACTGAATAAGCATCTCTAAAATGCCAAGCTCATGAGCTGCAACAGCACTGGCCCAGAGTCCCTAAAAACCTCCCCCAATACCCACAGACTACCCCTCTTCCAATCATGAGGCCACAAAGGAACCTAGGAGGCGGCAAGGTTGCCATCAGCACATTAATATGGCAATGTGAGGGGAAGGAGTTACCCTAGTCTCGTCTAACACCAGGCCCAATCCATATTAATCCCCTACCACCAAAAACCTTCTCTTCAGATCCCCTCACCTGCATGGCTAATTCAGGTTGGCATTTTTCTTTCTAGATATAGAGTCTAGCCAAACTAAGTTGATAAGCATAAGGAAGAAACCTAGGAACAAAAGCAAAAAAAAAAAAAAAAAAAAAAAAAAACACCACCACCACCACATCAGCCATAAAAACCACAAACTGTGCTGTCTAAAGGAAGGCCCCTTGTTCTCATCTTAAAGAGAAGGCAATGCTCCAAACAGGAGGGGGCAGGGTTTCCACTGATGTCAAACAAACATTAAGGGAGTCAGAGGCTGTTGCAGATTATTACAAAGGACTGTTAAATCCATTCCAAGTCATTCATGTTATAGAAAAGAGAAGAACATGCCCGCAGTCACATAGAGTTTGGCCAGACCTGCACAAGAACCCATCTAGTTTCTTCTGGACAATACTGTAAGTCCTTCTAATGGCCAACTACTGCCAAATACTCATGTCCAGCCCCGGCTCTCCCCCCTAGCTCCAGAGCCATATCTCCTACCGTATCTTTGACCCCTCCTCTTGACTCTCCCAAAAGCTCAAATCCCAACCTCTAACACTGAGCTCATGATCTTTTCCCACTACTATCAAGACCAGTTTTTTATCCAGGGCTTCTTAGCTTAGCAAATGATGTTACCATCCATCTGGTTCCTGAGCCAGACTAAGAAATCCTGTCCTGTGTCTGAACTCCAACCTTATTGCTTCCTAGCTGTGACTTTGGGCAGATTAAGTAAGGTCTTTAAATCTCAGGTTTTATCATCTAAAACACGGGATAACAAAGCGGACACCCAGGACTCTGAGATGGTGTCATCCATACCACTGAAGGAGAAGCAGCTCATAGATGCCAAGCTGGATACTGATGCAGGATTTCACCCCTAAAGGCACTGCTGGAGCATTTCAAAAAGGCTACTACCAGTATTACAACAAGCACGTCCATGTCAAGAAACGGGGCTTCACTGGGATTTCTATAGTGTGGACGGCTTATGTGCTTTTCAAATACTGTCATTGTTACAAGGAACTCCAACATGAGCTGCTAGGCAAGTACCACTGAAGAGGGCCCAGTGTGGAGGCACATTCTGCATTCCTGACCATGGCCTGTGCCTGGCACCCTTGAGTCCTTTCATACTCTAGTTGAGAATTAAGGAGAACTGGTATATGGGGTGCGGGGGGGGGAATGGGATAACAGGAATTGCCTCATAAGGCAACTGTGAGCACTGAAGGGAATGATGTGTATAAAATGCTAAGCCCTAGAAAATAGTGTTGTACATGCAGTTCCCTCTATATTCTTGCCTACTCCCCATTCCCATCCCCTGACCTGGTTAACACCTACAAATCCTTCTCATTTCAACTCAAAGTTGACTCTCCACTAAAAGCCTTCCTTGATTGGCCCCTACCTGCTAAGGTAAGTCATAACTGCACCCCCTACGCTGTTTCTCAGCCTCAAAGCACAGTGTAATTTCCATTCACAACACATATCAGAATGACATATTTATTTTGCATGGTTTATTGGCCACCTCCTCCAATTGCCTAGAAGACCCCTGAGGGAAGGGACTGGGACTGTTGCACCTCCAGAGTACTTAGTAAACGTCAGTTAAATCAAGTGCCCAAGAAGCAGGTCTATCAGCAGGAAACATAGATCCAGAGATTAGAAGAGGAGTCACAGGACACCAAGTAAGAACACGTGGCATCCCCCAGGGGACTAGGTACAAAGGATCTCGTGAGCCCTATCTGACCCACTGCAAAGGCCATGATTTCCTGCTTGTGTGAGCATCATTCTAACAGTTCACGATCAGGACCCCACAGCACTACGATAAACTCTGCACAGACATGCACAGCACATCCTGGAGAACCTTCTAGGTGCATCCCAGTCCCTCCAATCCCTCTTACTGTAAGCCATCATCCCATAGCAGATGTGATTCTTATATTTAAAGACACATATGGTTTTACCACAGGACCTCTAAACACAACCAACTACGACATCTGGAGCCCAGCTAAAGAAACAGCTCTTTGTTCCAACTTGGAAGTGAAAGTGAGGTCTTCTGGACGTGCAGAGAATGGTATGCTGGCCCTCCAGTATGGTACTAGTAAGGGATTTTCAGGAATAATTTTTACTACACCCAATGCTTATTTATGTACCAAGTTCAGAACCTAGCCTCCCTATTATATGGACCTCTAATGTATAGTAGAGGTATTTTATATAGTAGAGATGTGTAGTAAAGTATTTTAAAGAGCAGATTTTGACACTGAGGCAGGCCTGGTTTCAAATTCTGTTTCTTCCACTTACTAGTAACAAATAAAACTTTAGACCCATTACCTGACCTCTCTCAGCCACAGTTAACTCATCCATGCTAATAGATATAACAGTACCCAGAGCTTATAGTTGTAGGAAGCACTAAATATCAATACACAGCATACGGCTAAATTATTATCCCTAACAAAGTTCTTTGTAAATGGACTACCACCTTAGAAGATAAAGATCTGTCCGTAACACAGTTCTGGGCCTAACAGAGTACCCATTCCCAGAGGGTATTCAGTGAACACCATAATCTTCCTTAGAAGGTCCTTTAGTGATCCTTCTTTCTAAGTTGGACACTGACAAACCGCCCAACGGGAAAGCCAGTTTTTTTGTAATTCCTCTCATGCAGACACACACACCAACACGCACACATCCTTTTTTGAGAATAGGACTTACCCAGCACAGGACTCAGATACTGCACAAGATAACAGTTGCAGATACCAAAAAAAAAAAACAAAAAAAGAGTTCTTTATCCAAAAGAAAACACTGGAGAAAGGAAAGCTGAAATTTTCTAGGCCAGGAGAAACTGAGACATCACTTGGGTTTCTGTCATAATATTACTATCTATTATGTATAAGAAGTCGTAGTTGCTGCCACTTATAAAATAACTGTTCTCCAAAAGGCATGGACTAGGCACTGAGAGAGAATGCATAAGAACTACCTCTGCCTTGCAAAAGCGTGCAATATAATTGGAGGCACGAAACAAAGGGCAACAGCTAAGTATGCACTGAATAAACAGTAATAAAGAATAAGACAGAAATAAGATAGGCTGTTTCAGAAAAAAAAATAACACACTCCTGAGGGAGGTGCCTAATGACTAAGTAGATAGAGGTGGAAGGGCATTTTAGACATACAGAAGACCAAGAACCAGCTTGAATTAGTCTAGAGACTCTGAGAAAGGGTAGAAACACACATTACAAAAAATATTTAAGGAAAACGGGTGCCTGGCTGGCCTGGTCAGTAGATTGGGCAATTCTTGATCCTGAGGTCATGAGCACAAGCCCCACATTTGAATAGAGCTTACTTTAAAAAAAAAAAAAAAAAAAAGATTTACACCAATATACAAGCACAGAACAATAAGTGCAATATATGCATAAGGGGGCAGTTTTATATCTTCTTTGAGAAAAAAAAAAAAGGCAGCCCATCCAAAAGCCATGTCCCCAAAGTCTCCCACTGGCATAACCCCACATCACTTACCCGAATAAGGGAAGCCTGATGGCGAGGGGGCTTGGCTCCTGGGGCCCCCGACGAGGGTCCTTCAGGTGGAACAAGGGGCTGTCTAGCTTCATAAGGAGCTGAAAAAGCAGGGGGAAAAGTCAGCACAGTACAAAAAGATCCCACCCAAAAATTATTTCACACTCAAACTGAGACTGCCTGCTCATCAGAGAAGAATTAGCAATGGAATTAGAGTTTATGTACATAGGGCCACCTTGTACAAACAAACTTGGGTGCAATCTAAAGCCATTTAACCGATTCATGAAAAGACAGGAAAATATTTGCATCACGTTGAGATTAGGAATAATATGAAGGGTGGAGTGGTAAGAACCTCAATTGGAATAGAAAGCAGTAACAATCATCAGTAAACTGCCATATCCTAAATGCTCAAATTCTAAGTACCAGGTAAATTCTACATACACCTGCCAGTCTCAAAGTCTTTCATTCATCATCCATCATCCAAAGAAGAAAAAAAATACAGATTTTGAACACTAAGAATCAATACTACCATTTGTTTTCAAAAATAAATGGCACAGTCTTCTTTTCCTTATCGGAAAGAATGTAAAACCAAGTAGAGGAAAAAAACCAAAAAGGAATAAATGTATTTTATATTTACTACTTTATCTTTCAAAAACCAACGTAAAAATAATTTTGGTGACTTTAAGTTTTTAAGCCACAAAAACAAAGGCCTTTTTTCACCCTATTTCCAGAATATTTCATAATGACCTTGCCTGTATGGTAGGAAAACAGTTAAACACACCAGGTAGTATTCAGCTCCAACAGAAAGGAGAAATTATCACCCAAGATGAAATCATTTGTGATGAACATTTCTGGTTAACAATTTGAGGTTTTGGCAATACATCAAGAAGCAGAGTGCTTGCTTCCTCTAGCTGCCTAATAAGTAACATTAGGCAGAGCATGCGGAGGAGCCTGTTACGGCACCACCCTCGGCATCCCCCAATCACCTGAAAATAAAGGAGGTAGAAGAATGGCACATCAAGAAGAGCAGACCACTCTTGGGTTCACATCTGCTTTATGTATGTATTTCCTCCAAGAAACTGGAACACAACACTCTAACACACTTAAAATACATTAAAACATCAAAAATCATCATTACCTGGCAAAGCAGTAAGCAGATTTTCAGACCCTGCTAAGAATAAAAATATCAAAAACTGCAAAAGACACAAACGCTGGAATACATAATCCAAATGTTAAAAGAACAGCCTCTGCTGGTAGGCAGCTGGTAATCTTTCAAAGAAGGATTTTTAAGATCATTCCATTTTGACAGAACACTGAATAAAACTCAGTGCCAGAGGGTCTGAACACAGTAAACTGTACATGGTTGGGATACTAGTGGTCACGAGCATCCCCTGGGGGAGTGACCCTCCATGCCTCTGGCTCCCCTCAGAGGGAGGGAGCTTCTACTACATGGGAGGAACACATATGCGAGGAAGCCACCTGGCCCATGGCTCTAGTCCCTCACCTACAAGGGCCTTCCCTTGGAAGAGATGGACATACCTCATCAGTAAGGCCTGAACAAAGACTCGGCCACATGGGGAATCACTTCTGGAAAGGCCTGGCCTCAACAGCAGATCTCTTCCTACTCCCATGGGAAGCCTGGGATGGCCAGGCCTGCCTGTGACTAGAAAGGTGAGCAGACAAAGCCCATGTGGTCACAAATCTAAAACGTGTGCTCTGATCAGCTCTGTCAGTATCAGAACTGATCATCAGACCATCATCAGTCTGACTCTTGTCTCACTCTCAGCTGGATCTCAATTCAGAACGTAAAAAGGTGTTACTTACTGCCTCTACTCTCCTTCCTCCCAAATATAACCTGGAAAATGCAACTCAATGCAAAAGAAACAATTCTCAGATCCTCTTACAAGAGGCTTCATAAGCAACTAGTTCATAAGGAACTCTTTCTCCAAAGGGAGGAACCCTAAAGATTTCATCACTCTGAGATTCAGTGTCAAACCAGAAAGGGGACCACTAGCAAATGCACAGTAAAGACTCTACATCTGCCATCAACCCAATGAGAATTTCAAGAACACTTAAATGCATCAAAAACAAAACAGGTACCGGATTCTCAAAGTACAAAAGAAAGTACTAAGCAACACTTGAGTACTTATGATGTGCCAGGAACTATGTTAGGCACAAGAGGTTTATGTAACATTCCTTGTTTGATCCACAGGGCAAACCTCTGAGGCAAATGTCCTTCCATTTTACAGATAAGAAAAACCAAAGAGGGGCGCCTGGGTGGCTTAGTCGGTTAAGCGTCCGACTTTCGCTTGGGTCACGATCTCACGGTTCGTGGGTTCGAGCCCCGCGTCGGGCTCTGTGCTGACTGCCAGCTCAGAGCCTGGAGCCTGTTTCAGTCTGTGACTCCCTCTCTCTCTGACCCTCCCCTGCTCATGCTGTCTCTCTCTGTCTCCTAGAAATAAATAAAACATTTAAAAAAAAAAGAAAAGAAAAACCAAAGCTCTGAAAAGCGATATACCCATAGTCACACAGGCTAGAAATGCAGGCCCACCGAATCTACCTTTAGACCCAAGAGACTGACATCACAGCACATGCTCTTCAGAGAATACATTCCCAAAATCCTAGAAGATACGTAAGATAAGATGTGTAAGAAAAATCAGAACAGGTATCTTGATACAGAGATAAGACCTTAGGTATCAGAAGAAACAGGTAAGATTTGAAAGTACTTGCCTCTGGAGATCAGAAATAGGTTAAGAAGGAAGGAGAGCAGTTGTTTTCACTATAGGCATTTACATTTTTTTTTTTAACTATATGGTTGTATTACTGTGATTTCAATGTTTTTTAAATATGGGTAGCAGTATCTGCTTCTAAGGGATTACTAAGAAGAAAATAACACACATAAAGATCATGCCCGGTGCACAAGTCTCACCCACTGAACACGAGCTACAGCTACATCCAGCAGAGGTTAGAACAGCAGGAGCCAAGAGAGAAGGTGAAGAGAGGCTCTGAATCACACTGGTCTGGAGACACCCAGTCTGATTTAAAACATACTCACATACATCCCCACTAGCCAGGAACCATGGCAGAATCTTGGACAGGAAAATGACTCCAGAGAAATGTATTCCTAGAAAATTATTCCAGCAGCAAAACTCCTTTCTGAAAAGGCATAAATTAAGAATAACTCTAGAATGCTTAGTGCCAGAGGCACTAAGATTTAACAGGTTTCAGATATGCCACTGTGTAGAACAAAAGGAAGATGGAGTACAGGAAAGAGAATCCTGGGTTTGTCAGGTTGGTTGATGGCACGGTAAAGACAACAGAGAGTTTAGAAAAACAGATGGAAAAGAGCATGGAGGCCTTAAGAAAAACTGAGTTCTGAAAACATGGAGAGAAAGAGAATGAAGACATGTGGGATTCTCTTACTTCCTGACCTAACAATATAGGACAGAAAAGGAAGCAAACAAGAAAGGAAATCCTCTGGGGGAGAATCTACAGACACTATAAAAATAAGAGTGAATAAGCTATGAAGTGAATATTATCAAGTAGAAGCAAAAATCACAAGATTGAACCAAGTTGCAGATAGAAAAACTCTCCCTTCCTTTGACTTAGACAGATGGAGGAGTCTAAATGGCAGTACCTATAAACATTTTATTTCTGAATGACCTTGTTCACAACTGCAGGGACCTAACAGACTCCTAATCAATGGCTAGACCCAAAAAACTCAAACTCTTTGAGAAACAGGGAACTAACTGTTCAGACTCCTCTCTACGGGTGTGCTGTCCAAAGAAGAACCCTCTGAAACGGTATCTCATCAAATTTAAGGTTCATGATACAGGAGAAAAACCTGTATCTTAGGAAACAATGTTCCAAGAACAAAAGAGTGACCACAAGGAAATGTCTTCATATCTAATGGAATGATCACAATTAAAAACTCTGAAGAAAAGGAAACCACTGAGAGTGCCAAACGCCGGCAAGGATCACTGAACTCTCATACATCGCCAGTGGGTATACACAGCCACTTTGTAAAACTCTTTGGCAGTTTCTTATACCCCTTCCCTAAGGTACAAAAATTCCACTCCTAAATGCCAGGGAAATGACAACAGACGTCACAAAAAGATTACAAACAAAATGTCCGCTGTAGCCTTACTCATAACAGCCAAACACTGGAAACAACCCAAATGTCCATCAACAAGAGAATGGATCATCAAATTGTGGTACATTCACACAACGAACACTACTGAGTAATAAGAAGGAGCAAACTACTGAGACACATAACAATATGGATGGATCTCAACCACTAACACTAAGGGAAAGACAGCAGACACATAAGAGGAATTTTTCAAGATGATTCCGTTTATACCAAGTTCTAAAAGAGGTGAAACTAATCTAAGGTGATAAAAATCAGAACAGTCCTCACATTGGGGACCAGGGAGTGACTGGAAAGGGGCATCTCTAGGGTGATGGAAATGTTTGTTTGCTTTTTAGACAAAGTGCACACCCAAGTCAGGGAGAGGAGCAGAGAGAAAATCTTAAGCACCCTCCATACTCAGCACAGAACCTAACGTGGGCCTCAATCCTAAGACCACGGGATCATGACCGGAGCCAAACTCAAGAGTCAGATGCTCAACTGACTGAGCCACCCAGGCGCCCCGGAAATGTTCTATTCTTGATCAAAGTGGTAGCTGCACGGATGCAACCATTTGTCAAAACTCCAAAACTTGGCGATTTTTAAATATGTGCATTTTATCATTTAGAGAAAATAAATAAGAATGAAGACATGGACAACCTTGACAGAGGCAGCTAAGAGTCAAGGAAGATGGAGAGAAGCAGGTAGCATCCTTGCCAATGGGGGGAATGGAAACCCAATTTGAACGGAATGAGGAAATAGAGCAAGAAGTAGAGAGTGAATACAGACAAGTTCAAAGGAATAGGCAAAAAAAAAAAAAAAAGTGACGAACCTGGCAATATGCTGACTCAGTAGAACAAAAAATGACTCACCTGTGAATTAAAAACAAAAAAAAACAGGCACCATGCCAGGCATAAAACTCCGATGTCCAAGCCCAAATAACATTAAGAATCAAAAAGAACTCCAGTTCTAAAACTTAGGGAAACCAGGCAGGACAGACTAAAAGGAAAAGAATTCTCTTGTTTCAGACCCCAGTGGGACATTCAAGTTTTAGGAGAGTGATTTTTTGTTACTATCCCTTAATAACATCATCTTGCATTTACATAGGGCTTAATTTCCAGTCGCACTTTATACTTGTGTTCTCGCTAATCCTCACAACACCCCGATAGAATGCTGTTACCCCATTTTAAAAGAGGAGAGGAAACCATGGTTCAGAGCAGTTCAGTGGCTTGCCCAAGGTCACATACCTAGCTAGTCACATAAACCCACACCTTCTGATTCCCATCAAAAGATCTTTACATTATGCCATTGCTGCTCCTCTCTACAAGATTACAGCCTCTCCGTAGCCTGGCACACATTTTTATCTGTGTCCCTCTAGAACTCACCACTATTTTCATCACAGCAAAACCCTGCAGAAACTGGGTCATTTTCAAATACAGCCCAAAAAATACAAGGATAACCGATTCTAGAATACCTTTCATTGGTTCTATCTTAAAGTACGAGCCTGAGCCCCAGGAGGACAAGGCGCTGCCGCGAGTTTATGGAGCTTTAAGCACTGCAGGCGAGGCAGCCAACTCTGCAAGTCATCCTCGGAACAACTAACGTACCTTACAACTAACGTGGCCGGCACAGCGTATGGGTGAGCAAGCAGGCGACCCCACAACTGGGCACGCCACACACCTCCAGCAAAATGCTTCCCCTACCATTTTCTTTATCCTTATTCTCAAACACAAGAGCGAGATATTTTCATTCACACGATCTGTCTTTAAAGGTTGAACCACCTCTTTTGCTTTTGCAGAGTTTTATTTTTAAGTAATTTCAGAAAAGCCATTGTTATATAAACATGTTTGGAATGTCTTCTGAAAGGAACAATTCCAAAACAATATAAACCTTGAACATGCTACATTCCCATGTAATGAAATCTATATACGAATGATTAAATCATCTAAATCAATTACAAGTCGAAGCTAGTTTGTAGGATAGGGCACAAGGCACTACTAGGATACACTTCATCATAGTTTTTTAAAAAGCCTTGCTTGAGTACAAAATTAAATTGAGCCATGTTTCCAAAGACAGAGGTAATTAAGTCAGGAAATTCAGCAGCTGGTGGCATTGCTGCCAGATAGATTAAGGAGTCTGTAGGACACTGCCTGGGACAGCTGGACAAGATCGCCTCTTACCTGGATGCATCTGCTCCGAGCTGCTCCGCAGTTTGCCGTAGGCATGGCTCAAGGACACCCTCTGGTAATGAGGCGGAGAAGAAGGAGGGGAGGCGAGGGGTGACATCGTGGGAGACTGTGTTTCCTGCTTCAAAGGAACCAGAGCAGAGTTCAGAGGCAATCACTCGAGAAGCCTGGTGCTCTGAACCGCAGTTACGAAGTATAATGCAACTCTACCGCCGGTGAGACAGCTGATTTCACAAATGGGAGGAAATGTTTTCTCAAAAAGACGGTTTGGTTAAAATGCAGTGTCTGAGGATTCAAGTCTCCCAGAGAACGAAGTCCTGCCAGCACTCAGTTCCCTAAATTACTAAAACTAGTATGAAATGCTTTCAGTTATTCCACTAGTATTTTCCTTTGGAAAATGGAAGACAATGATCACATGAAACAGCATACATACTCCCCAAATCTGATCTCTTTGTGGATAAATTCAATTTTCATTTGTTTCTAATAAAGGCTCCTACTTCCTGGATTTACACTTATCAAGTCTTCCAGCAAATGTGGATATTAAAAATACACACTTAAAATGCTTAATGCTAAATGTTGCTGGGGTTTACTATACCAGAGTAAAATGCCAGCTTTTTCTTTTTCACACTGGGGGATTATGAAACAAATCATTATAGACAAACCACTCCTAAACACAAGGATGGAGGCTTAATAAGCTACAGTTCAAATCTCAGTTAAAATGTGAATTTGAGGTAGGACTCTAGCAAAGCAAACAACCTTACTCTGCTACTGGGTTTCTTCCTCTTTTTTTAATGCTACCAATAAACTGGTAACTTTGGAGTACCCAAATAACAAGGAAACAGTACTTTAATCAACATGCAGACTACATAGGTGCTCTTAGTCTTAAAAAAATGCAATCTGAGATACTCTCCTTCAAGAAAAAGAAAAGAATTTTTGAAGTGTGAGCTCACACCAGCAGATGGGGTGGGCGGAGCATAAACCTACCCTCAGGTCAAAGGATGTGTCCTCCTCAATCATGCAGCCTGGAATGGGCCTAGAAAGTCCCCAGAGTATCAACCATCTTGGGACAGCAGACCCTCATTCCTCTCCAAATGCTGGTAGGAAAACATGCCAGACTGCTGACTGAAGGTTCCTATACCCCTTTACATGTAGAACCCTGAAGAACTCGTTTAAAATGTTACAGAATTATGAAATCAACAGTACACAGAGTTATTTAACAGGATGTGCTACATACCTCACTTGGCTATAAATATAAAACTTCTGCAGCAACACCTCATATATCCAGCATTATCAGGGTGAGCCATACATATTAGGTTTTCAACTTAATCCTTTATTACACATTGCATTTAAAAAACATTTTGACTCATCTTCCTAAAATAGGATAAATTTCTTGGTCTTATAGAAGATACTATATTCAATATAATTTGACTTTTCTGCATGATTCAGTATTTTTATTAGAAGGATGAGCTGTACCTTGATGCCCGCAGGGTTCACTAATACATATGACTATTTACCTCTTTCTTGATAGGCTTACTCTTCTGCAATTTTATACTTTTACCTCTACCAATCACCACCTAACCACTGCAATTAGTGTTCTAATTTTCAAAGGCCATCCTCTCTTCTCTTGTCCCTAACGTGCTAACTGTGTAATGGCAGCATTTCCCAACATGGCATCCTTAACATGCTCCACAAGGAAGGATTCTCTGGTGAAACAAGTTTAGTAAACACAAATCTCCATGTCTCTTTACAGCAGGACTTCTCAGGGCCTTGAATTTGCTAATGAGCATGGTGACTCTCCAAGCCTGAGGATGTAGTCCTTCACCCAAGGATACAAAGCAGTATTCTTCAAATATATTGAACCACAGAAACCTTTTCTCCAAACTTTTTTGTGAGAGAGAGCATCTATTAAAAACTCCTAGGGGCGCCTGGCTGGCTCAGTCAATAAAGCCCCACCAGGTTGGACATAGAGTTTACTTTAAAAAACAAACAAAAAAAACAAAAACAAAAAACCAGAAGTTCCATTTTAAAGAACCCACTTAGAAATGCTGATTAAAGAAATCAAATAAGTGTATTAAATCATAGCCTTGGGGCGCCTGGGTGGTTCAGTTGGTTAAGCATACGACTTCAGCTGAGGTTCAAGTCATGATTTCATGGTTCATGGGTTTGAGCCCGAGGAACTGTGCTGACAGCTCAGAGCCTGGAGCCTGCCTCAGATTCTGTGTCTCCCTCTCTCTCTGCCCCTCCCCCACTCACACTCTGACTCTCTCTCAAAAATAAGTAAACATTTAAAAATAAAAAATAAATCAGTAGCCTTACTTTGGACACAATTCTACATTCAAGTAAGCTCTAAAGGGTGTATGGGTGGCTATACTTCAGCTTCTTTTTCTCGCTACAAGGAAACTTGACTGGCTTCCTTCCAAGTCTATAATTGTATCCCAGATGGTGAGATTTGCTAGAAGCCTGACAGTAGATATGAGGCACTGCTATGTGAGGTTTCACTGTCAGAATCAAATGGACACCCCTGATCAGGCTGTTTACCTGTTTATCCTCATCGTCCATTCTTTTGAAGGTATTTTTTTCTGTGATTAAATATGGAATCTGAACCTTAGTTCCATGCAGTTCAGCCGGATTCCCAAATCGTATTTCAGCTTCGGTCTTTGACATCATAAAGCGAGGCAGTGGCAGTTCTTTAGGACCAGAATCAGAGGAGCTCAAGTGAGACTTTATTTTAAAACTGTGAAAAGCAGAACTCAATGGCCAAAAGATGAATCACTTTTGAGGAAAAATTCCAGAGCACTAAATATAGATTAAATTTTTATTTTGACACAATGAAGACTCCGATAATAATGTCATGATAGAAAAATGCTCCAGTTTTACCAAGGCATTCTGGCTTAACATTTTTAAATGCTGTCAAATCATCACAGAACATGTTCAGGTTTTGGATTCATCTCCCACCTCAGCCTTTAGCCCAGCACCAGCTAAAAGGCTGTGATACTGTGTAAACACAAAACATGGCAAACGAAGCAGGAAAAACCTATGTAACACACATTATATGTCAGACACTATATTAATATCTGCAAATGTTTATTTTTGAGAGAGACACAGAACATGAGCAAGCGTGGGGCAGAGAGAGAGAGAGAGAGAGAGACTAATCTGAAGTGTCAGATTCTGTAGAATCAGAAGCAGGCCCCAGGCTCTGGGCTGTCAGCACAGAGCCTGACACAGGGCTGGAATTCATGGAGCACAAGATCATGACCTGAGCCAAAGCAGTAGGCTTAACCAACTGTGCCACTGAGGTGTCCCCTGGGTGAAAGTTTTTCACCCTATGTCATTCTTTACAGAATTTTCACGCTCAATCTGCAATGATCTTTTCATGATGGAATAAGGAAAATGGTATCAAGTTAGAGCAATCAGTCCAACGTTCAGCCAGATTCTACTGTCAAAACCATTAGCCACACTCACAATGCTACAAAGAGTTGAAATGCAACAGTCTGGAATATTTCCTTATCTTTCAAATATCTGATAAAACTATTCTGAAACAGAAATGATGCTTTGGCACACTTCTAGTTCTCAGTGCAGCAAATCACACACAATCACACAACACAAAGAACCCCCAAAATGGGGATAATATTTATGGATTATGCATAATGATTTGCATCTGTATCCATTGTTCAGGATAATACTCATCACTGTGCCTCCGCACTTCCATCAGCTCTCCATTCCAAACACAGCTGCACTTCCAATGACTGATGCCGTGCTAAAGCCAGAAAACGTCTTAGCAACAACAACCAAGTATCCCAGCTCCCCAGGCAAAGAAGGTCCCTAGTTCTCTAATATCCACATTGTGTTTATTTTTAGTTGCTATGTCCGCATTTGATTCAAAGAAGTAGGCAATATGACAAATCCCTGCATGATCAATCAGCCAAAGGCCCAAGAGACATAAGTAGAATGAGCAATCTGGAAAATTAAACCAGGACTCTCCTCTAAAAAGAAGATGGCCACCATTTTAAACATTTTAACATTTCCCAAACTCGGCAGCTCTCCAGTACTCAAGGCAGGAATGGACTTCAAAAGAAAAAAAGGCAGAAGAAAAGAAAACCTAGATTCTTAGTAAATCAGATATAAGCTAATCCCATGGTTCTCTTCTCAGAAAGGTATTTCTTTCAGTTCAGTCTGCAAAAAGGATATAAAAAGATGGAACAAGCTCACATAAAATGATCTGCACCCTGATAGCCCATGAAAGGATGACTCTACTTCCAAACACTACTTGAAGGAGAAGAGAAGTAAACACCCACATCTGTAAACCCCCGATCGGTGTTTTACTGGTGTTCAACAGATAATTCTAGAAACAAGAGAATACAAACACAAGAAGACAAGTATCAACTATTATTACACAAGGACTCCCAGATACCCTTTAGAACCCTGTCACTTCACACACTGTCTTCCTTCCCTGGCTATGGCATTTCTCCAGAACTATTCACCTGGCAAAGAACCTCTCTCCTCCAGACAGCTACCAAACAGCTAAACACAAAATACAACTGAATTTCTCTTGTACTTTCTTCACTTATGTGGTTTTAAATAACACTCACTTAACAGAGTGTAACCATCCATGATAATAATCATATCACTAAAAGTCTTAATGAAGGTGCTATCTCCCTTACACTGTTCCAAGCTTTCAAAAAGGGCAAAGTAAAACTCTAGGCTGTAAATATTAAGTCTAAATGTTCTGTAGTCATATGGACACCATATTTAATAGTCAAACTTCATTTGAAAGCTAATCAATAAAGTATCTGCTATCCAGTGATTTATGTCAAGTAATCACAGGAGAAGAGTCGCTTATAGTAGTTGATTAGAATCTTTTCTCCCAAACGGAACTCAGTTAACACAAGGAAATAAAGAGTTCAAATTAAAGGTTTATAGGGGCCAAGGAGACAATGAGTGCCGCCATCCAAGGTGGCAATTTGTTTCATAAAGCTTAGGTTGTAGTCTTTGAACACAGAAACACTTCGTATATTAAATATAAATGACTAAGTTAAGTGTCCAACTTCGGCTCAGGTCATGATCTCACGGTTCGTGGGTTTGAGCCCAACGTCGGGCTCTGTACTGACAGCTAGCTCAAAGCCTGGAGCCTGTCTTCAGATTCTGTGTCTCCCTCTTTCCCTGACCCTCCCCTGCTCATGCCGTCTCTCTCTCTCAAAACTAAATAAAACATTAAAAAAAATTTTTTTAAGTAAAATGTAGTCTTACTAAAACAATAAGTTACATTTAATGGAAAATACACTGCTTGAGTTTTTAAATTTTAAGTAATTTACATTAAATTAAAATTTCAATTTCTCAGTCAACACTAACCAGATTTCAAGCCCTTAACAGCCAACCATATGTGGCCAGTAAGTACTATATTAGCACATTGCCTGATTTTATACTCGCAACAACCCTGTAAGTCAGGTACTACTGGTACATCTCTTCCCCAGGTGAGCCATGTGAAGCTCAAAGAGGTTAGGAGGGCACAACTCTGAGGGCACACAAATAAAAAGCAATGGTGCAACCTTTCAAAATCAGGCAGTCTACTGATGCGGCCCACACTCAGCCACTAGGCTCTACTGTCATCCTGAAAATTAAAATATTCTTTCCATTGCAGGTTTGAACACAACATAAAACTGCGGCATTTCAGAGCTGGAAAATCCACATCTCACAGGTGAAGAATTAAGACCAGGAATATGTCAGACATGCAGCAATTGGGTGACAGGACCAGAAGTGTTAACACTCCTGCCTGCGGGGGCTCCCTCCTCTTGTAATTTTTGGAGGGGTCACGGCAAATCAATTACGTTTACTCATTATCAGTTTCATAAAAGGGCATTTAATCAAAACAACCATCTTAGAATTGAGTGCATTTCATTTTATAAATAACTCACTCTTTTGTCCTAATTCTTTCTCCTTTCACTACAGACTGTGCCAGACTGCCACTAGATCAATAACCAGTTTGGGGAACACGGCCCTAGAGGCTATGTGAGCCACATTATTGCACTATTAGCATTCGGAGACTCCCAGAGGGTCTGTGGAAAGAAATCACGGGGTCTGGCCTCTTGGTTATGGAAAAAAATTCCATCTTTATTCTCCCTACCCTACCTAAAAGTTAGCATTTCTTTCCATTATGAATGTAGGCAACTTGGCGCTGCGGTATCATTAGCAGCACCTGTAACTTCGTCACCCACCAAAATCATAGATCACATCGCACTTGCTGTAGACCTCTTCAAGTATTGTTTATGCTCATCACTACTTTGAAAGTATGGTAGTTATTTAAGTCACTCTTAGGTCTCTTATTTAATACGTTAATGAAGTAGTATGTATACTGCTATATAACATTTTTAATATCTTAGTTTTAATTTCAATAATACTTGGTTTCCTTTGGACTCCTATGTCTTTGTATTTTTTTTTAAACATCATTCCAAGGAGTGTCAGACTGCCAAAGGAGCCCACGACACAAAAGAGGTTATAAAACCTACTCTATAAGCTCTACCTATACCTTCTCTCAATCCTCACACTCCCTTACAGCCAGTCCTCAGAAAAAAGGAAGGGACAGTTCCCAGGGCAAGTGTCCACCATGCAGTTTCCTGATCAGGAAATCTCCAATGGTTCTCAATTCTACCCCCTGCTTCTCTCCTCCTAAATTATCCTAAGGTTTCACTATTTGTTTAACAGGCCAAATAGGATGAGGCTAGACAGATGCCTAGTGCCAACATTTAAATTTAAGGAGGTGCTCACTCTCAGGGCTGTGTCAATGCAGAATCAGCACTTGTATGGCCCGGAGAGTGACTTTTCCCTTAAAGTGCCCTGGTTGCCCCTGGCCTTGCCCCAACTCAGGTCCTGATATAACAAAAAATGTACTCATAGTTTAAGCAAAGCTCTTGAAAATGCTCTACTCAGCTCTCATTAGAACTCTCTCTCAACCTGGCTTCACATAAGAATCACCTGGGGAGCTCTTAAAAACCCCCATGTTCAGGCTGCACTCCAGGCTAATTAAATGAGAAGTTCTGGAAGTGTCCCCAGGCACCTGTATTTTTTTAGTTTGCATTTAAAGCTCTCCAGCAATTCTCAAGTGCAAACAAGGCTAGGAACCACCGTGGCCTGAGAAAGAGGACTTCTTTAGAAATCCCTTAGGAGTTCTGGGTGAATCTGAAATCCAAATGTTTGAGCTTAAAAAGTGACAGATGATTAAGATTCAGTCCTCATTCACAAGCATTCATCACTCATTCATCCAACAAATGTGCCCTGAGTGTCCACAGTGCTACACAGAGCAGTGGCTACCAGACCCTCCTCCCCTCCCTTTAGGTAAGCCTGCAAACCAGTGAGGAAGACAGAAATGAGTCCAGTGCTATAAAGGAGCAGAGGCTGAGAGAAAGTAAAGGAGGGAGGGGACAGTCACACAGAAGCATCATCTAACAGGATTAACCCATCCAAGAATTACATAACTCCCTAGGGATACGTACTTTTGTTTTGACTTACTATATATTCTTCATTAGGTATCTTACAACACTGAGTGGATAGATATTAACACATAGAAAACTGTTAGCTAACTAATCTTGTCTAATAACAATGTAGGTGAATCTCATCTTAGAAGAGAGTCTAATAGCCAAGTCACAGTTTTATTGCTCTATAGAGCATTCACCAATTTTATATGTAATTTAGCAATCTTATTCTAGCATTCTTTCTTTCCAGGACTATAAATGCTTCTAACTCTCCTATACTTTCCTGAACCAGCTTAACTCTATGCTGGTTCTTTCATTAATGAGTTAATTTGACAGAACCTACTTTAGACAGGATGCTGGGGACACTGCACAAATCCTGAAGGATGAAGAGGAAGAGCTTGCCCTGGGAAAGAGAAGGGGAAAACAGACTGCTGGGAACCCAAAACCTCAAGATAACATGGTCTTTCTTGCAGCAGGAAAGAGATGGCCCAGAAATGGCTAGAAGGCCAGTGAGGCTGGATGGAGAACACAAGGCAGGGCAGGTTTAAGACGAGGATGGAGCAGTAGGCAGAAACTAGATTACTCAGGGCCCTACAGATCAGTGTAGTGACGCAATTTACTACAATGTACAACAAGCCAACCAGTGGAGGACCGAGGAGGAGGATAAAATGCTCTGATGGCTACTGTGATACTGTAAAAAGACCACTCCTACTGCCATATAGGAAAAGAGATTGGAATAGAGAAGAGAGGAGGCCAAGAAATCAATGACAAAACCACTGTGGTATCCAGGTGAGGGGCAGAAGGTAGCCCAGTCTAGTAGGTAGGTAGAGATGGAGGGAGCAGGCAACACGACTGGAACCACACTGCCAGGGCTGCTGACAGATTACACTGTGGACCGAGGCAAAGGGTGGAATCAAGGATGACTTCTAAGCTCCTGGCTTGAACAACTGTAGATGGTGGTGGCGTCGACCGAAATGGGTGAGGCTACGGGTTAGAGGTTAACACACACATACACCCGGACTCGTGCAATTCATGAAGTAAGAACAGACTCCCCACTCCTTGAGTGTGATGAGGCTACTACAACCTTTCCGATTAGGTTCTCACAGAGCATCCTCTTTGGCCTCCAAGGTTTGTGTCATCAAACATTACGCTAATGGATTTCAAGCAATAACTTGGAAAATTCTAAGTGGCAGCTCAAAGTTTGGCCTAATCTTGCCCTCATTCTTATTTGACATATGCTGACTGTAAATAACTTTTATTTAATAAATCTTTAAGTGAAGATTTAAGTGAAGGGAGCAAATTCAAAATTAACTGTGAGTATAAACTGTCAGAGGTCTGTAAAAGGCAGCATCAGGATTTATAAAATACATGAGAAAGCCTTACACTTAAGAAAACATGTTAATCCTTTACACATGTGATAATTTAGACACTGCCCCCCCAACCCCACCCCCCAGTCTCTCTTCCCAGGAAATTAAGCTGTAGATGTAAGCACAAATCCAGTAAAAGACCAGTCTAACTTAAAATAAACAACAGAAGCGTCAGAAATTTATTCTTGTATACAAAAAGCAGCTTTAGCTTTTCCAGCAGATGAAAGTTGGAAGATACAACAATAAAGCTTAAAGACCATTTACAGTGAAACGGAAATTTTCAGTGTCTACCACAAGTCCAAATACAATGTGATGTGACTCTAATCACAACAAGTGACTTAGAGCAGTGACTGCTCTGTCTTGCAGTGATAAACAGCAAACTTGCCACTGAAATAACATTCCATGAAAAACCCTATTTTGGAGTGTCTGGGTGCTGGCCCAGTCGGTTGAGCATCCAGCTCTCGATTTCAGCTCAGGCCATGATCCCAGGGTTGTAGGATCGAGCCCCAAGTCAGGCTCCATGCTAAGCATGGAGCCTGCTAAAGATTCTCATTCTCATTCATTCTCTCTCTCTCTCTAAAAAAAAAAAAAAATGAGTAATGAATAAACCAATTTTTAAATCTATTTTAAGGAACCAAATTACATAATACCAAGGGATGCCTTTTGGATCAGATTTTTTTTCCCCATTTGGAAAATATTCTGTGATTCCAGATTATAATCAGCACCTTAATAAAAAGAACAATCAAGAAGAGGCTACTATACATAGTAATGAAGAGCATGGGAACTGGAGACTGAGCTTCTGGCTCCAAACTCTACTTAAAGTCTTCAGGCAAATTACTCAACACCCCTCAACTTCGATAATCACCTGTAAGATGAGGATAAGAAGAGTACCGCACTGGAAACTTCCAGTGTTTATCCACAGAAAGTTCTCTCCTTGTGGGCAGAGGCGAGAATTACACCCCACCCCACCCCACCCCCCAGTCTGCCCAGCAGTTTGGTGGATCCACGTGACAAGTTCGGGCTAATGCACTGTGAGCAGCAGTAATATGAGTCACACCCAGGACAAAGCATTTAACTGCTAGGGTGAGAAACTATTTCCCTGTTGCTTGCTGGGGGGGGCCACAAGATCCAGCAGCTAGGACCACAAAGCGACCACATATAGGGCAGCTGCCCTAGAGGGTCACCGTGGCCCACTGCAAATCAAGAAGCGAACCTTCATTTTGTTAGGGCACTGGGATTTGGGTGGAATTTGTTCCGCAGTGTATCGCAGGCAACGCAGACTAACACAAATCTAATTTGGTAGGCTGCTGGGAGGACTGAATGAGGTGGTGCCCAGCAGACACTAAACCTTTAAGAATGATTAGCAGGATGACTGTGGCTCTGATGGTTGGCGCAAAAGGACTTTGTTTCCCATAGTCAAGCCATCAGAATCTTCTCAGCTGTTTAGAGCTGTGCTACAAGGTTACTGAACTCATTTTTAAGTTTACAAGGCTTCACAGGACACGTGTGGACAGTGGAGTGGTTTTTATCTCAAAATGAGGGAAAGGAAAAAGTTCCTGCATGGCTATGTGAGCATATGGAAGTAACCTGTATCAGAGGACCTCAGCATAACCCTGGAATAATCACCTTCTTCATATACATTTGTACACCCAATACTGAGGCAGTATGAATGATGCTAAGAGTTTGGGGCTTTGCTATTTGTTTAAGTTGTGGAGAGTGCTCAAAATTCAGAGGGTTGGGGCCAGGGATGGCAAGATAAATCGTTCAATCAAAACTTTGAGAAGCTAAGTTCATTCTGCCAAAATTTTGGTAGCTCCATAGTACTTAATCATCATTAGAATGGTGATTAGGAATCTCCACACTGTTTTCCAGAGGGGCACTCTCAACAATAGCCAAAACATGGAAAGAGCCTAAGTGTCCATCAACTGACAAATGGATCAAGAAGATGTGGTTTATCTATACCATGGAATACTACATGGCAATGAGAAAGAATGACATCTGGCCATGTGTAGCAACGTGGATGGAACTTGAGGGTGTTATGCTGAGCGAAATAAGTCAGGCAGAGAAGGACAGCTACCATATGTTTGCACGTATAGGTGGATGAGAAGAACTTAACGGAGGACCATGGGGGAGAAGAAGGGGAAAAATAGTGGGGGAGAGGGAGGGAGGCAAACCATGAGAGTCTCTTGAATGCTGAGAAAAAAACAAGGGCAGATGGAGGTGGGGAGGAGGGGAAGGGGGGAGATGGGCATGGAGGAGGGCACTTGTAGGGATGAGCACTGGGTGTTATATGGAAACCAACTTGAAAATAAACTATTAAAAGAAAAAAGAATGGTGACATAGGAATCGGAGATTAAAGGACGATCACATATGGGGAGCCTCGGTGGCTCAAGCTGTTGGGTGTCTGACTTCAGCTCAGGTCATGATCTCATGGTTCATGGGTTTGAGCCCCATGTCAGACTCTGTGCTGATGGCTCGGAGCCTGGAGCCTGTTTCAGATTCTGTGTCTCCCTCTCTTTCTGCCCCTCCCCTGCTCATGCTCTGTCTCTCTCAAAAATAAACATTTAAAAAAATTTTTTTAAAAAGGGATGATCCTATAGGATATGACTGGCAGGGACAGGAAAGAAAAAAGGAGCAGTTCTATTCATACTCTTCCTGGTACTTGTCCCCTTGTCCCTAACAGAACTTCAAATGACAGTGTATATTCCTCAAGAGGAAAATTAAACTAAATGTTATTATTTTGCCACAGGCTCTAGAATTCCTGTCCTGATCTCTTTCTGCTAAAGAACAAAATCTATTTTAACTTTAATTCAGTTAAAAGGAAAGAATCTCAGGTCACTGTCTTAATTTTTTTTCCTATTTAAAGAAGAAAAAAAGAAAGTAAGAAACCCACTAAATTTTCTTACTTCTTTTTACAGACGACTTGTTAGAAGCAAGGAGAAATTCCACAAATGCTTACAGAACAGGCCTAAGCCCACTAAAGATGGTTCTCATAAACAAGACACCTGTCATGGACAATCAATCAAACGTATAAATGGGAGATACTTACCACATTTAATACTCTCTATCCGTACAGGGAGGCCAGACTGCGCTGCAGCAATCAATTTTAAGGCAATGTAAAACTGTGTTGGACCAAAATAACCAACCCGCTTTGCACCACACAGTTCTGTGATCTGAAAACAGACAAGAAAAACCAGGCTGAAAACCCCATTTCATAACAGGAAAATGAGACAAGATATATTATGAAATCCCAAGGATTTCACAGCATAGCTAACCAAAAACTCCCTGGAGAACTTATGTGTACACCCTGGTTGGAGATTATTTTCCTGCAGTTTACAGAAGATTTTCAATTCAGATAATTACAGTCCTATGTTTCAGGACTCAGTGATTAGTCCTCCTTTTTCAAAGAGGAAAAGAAAGGTGACAAAGGATGGCTGTTACTGTTCTTACAAAAGAGAATGACTTGTTCAGGGGGCGGATACTAATGTACAAAGTCTAGAAGAGCAATGGGGTGAAAAGAGAACAGGTTAGTCATTACCTCTACTTGTGGATTATCCCAGCTGATCAAAACTAAATGTGAATTAATGATTTTTAAAGTCTTCAGGCAACAGGATTTCCTAAACATTAAAATTACAATCAGGAGTGCTCACTTCAGAGAAACAAAAGGCGGGGAGGGCCTATGAGCACAAGTATCTTCAAGATTCTGCAATCTTTAATTTGCAGACCTTAAACTAACACCTATCCTATTGGTAATTTAAAAATATTCAGATTCTGTACCTCCCTCTCTGACCCTCCCCTGCTCACGCAGTCTGTCTCTCTCTCTCTCAGAAATAAAGCATTAAAAAATTTTTTTAAATAACAAATATTCAGTAACTTTTAAAAATTATTTCAAATACTCAAAAGCTCAAGTAATAGTTAAGTGGGGTGAAGATCTAAAAAGCACCCCCTACTTCCTATGGCCCCAAGAAAAACATTATATTCTTTTGGAAATGTTGTATGCATATATATATATGTAGATGTATATAAATGTGTGTATATATAGCACACACCTGTGTTTTTCCTCTTGTTTATCCAATACTTGATACAAAGAGAATACCACATACTATTTGCAACTTGTTTTTCATTTAGCATTATACCTTGAAGAAAAATATTTTCTATCAGAGCAATGAAAATCACATCTTTCTTTTAACTATATAATATTCTGCTATAAATATACACCGTGCCTTTTTTTAGTTGGTCCTTACGGATGGGCTTTTTAGATTTCCAAACTATAAACAGCCACTAATTAATCTTAAGAAAATTCCTATAAAAATTCAACTAGGACGTCAGCAAAAAACATGCGGGTTTTAAGAGCTTCCAAAAATTCTCTCCTCCATCAAAACAATGAGAAAACTAAGAAAATGAACAGAGCTCTGGAAATTAACCGAAGGCTTGCAGCTAGCCAGGGAGTGTCTACTATTCAAGAAAGGCTGCTGGATCTCTGGAAGAACAGAGCTCTGTGGTATGTAACTGGCCTCACACCCATGCCCCCGGCCCAACTGCGGGCATTTTCACTGTGGTTGCAGGCATCCCCAGCCTGTAGTCACCGAGAGACAGCGGAGCAGCCGCAGGAGGGGGCAGGACAGGGCTGGGCTTCTTGAATGTATAGATTAGTCTCTCTCTCTCTCTCTCTCTCTCTCTCTCTCTCTCTCTCTGTCTTCCCTCCTTCTGATAATCCTAGTATTTCTCCTGGCAGGTGGTACACCTCTCCTAGCCCTCGACTAAGGAACTGGGGTTGGGGGGAGAGAATCCTACCTTCTTGGCTGGACCCGCCATGAACAGAGCTTTGTGGGGAGAGGTGGGAAGCAGGCTGTGGCTCAAATACTGCAGATTCACTGTTCTTACCAAGATTTAGCAAATTTTCTTCAATGTTTCTCCATTTGCTGCATGTCCTCAAGTCAATTTCCAAAGACTTCAAATGATTTATAGGGGTTTTTTTTTGTTTTTTGTTTTTTTTTTTTTTTTGCTACTAGTTAATAGGTTGTTTCACAGGATGTTATACAGTAAAGAGAACAGCCCCTGTAGTAAATGAGTTGGTTGTGAATCCTGGCCCGGGGAACTAATTAGCTGTTTGCATAACCTAAAGCAAACTACTTAACTCTCATGGCTTAGTTTCTCCATAAGAACAAAAAGAGATGAGGGTACTTACCTCATGAAAGCTAAATTAGCAGTCCTGACAATAGTGTCCAATCAATCATAGCTGTCTGATTTATTGATCTATTTGTCTTATTTTGTTCCCAGTCCAGCTGCATATTACAATAATTGGAGGAGCTTTTGAAAAATACAGATAGCTAGGCCCTATCCCCCAAAGATTCTGCTTTAATTGGTAATTTGTGTGGCCCAGGCATGGGTATTTTTGCAAAGCTCTCAAGGTAATTCTAATGTGCCGCCAAGTTAGAGAATCAGACTCTTTGAGTGATCTCATTCTCTCTCCAGGGTTCAATTACCATCCAAATGATCCAAATCACTTTCTCCAAACCTAACACCTCATGGGCTTTTCCAAAACTCTAACACGGATACCCAAGGCCATCTCAGACATACTACATATCAGCCAGACTCATTTGTCCCTCCCCACACAGCCTGGCATCTGCTAACTAATCTTCTGGCAGCCCTCATCTCAGTTGCTGACATCAGCTATTCCACATCCTAAATTGGAAACTTCTATTCAATGGTAACCATATCCAGTTGATCCTACCACTGAGCCATGTCCCAAATCAACGCTATCTTCTCCTCTGCCAGGGCCTTAACCCTTCCTAGTGTCTCACCTGGCTATCATGACAGAATTTTTAAATTTTTTTAATGTATTTGTTTTTGAGAGAGAGATAGAAAGTGAAAGCGGGCGAGGAGCAGAGGGAGAGGGAAACACAGAATCGGAAGCAGGCTCCAGGCTCTGAGCTGTCAGTGCAGAGCTCAAACCCACGAATCAGGAGAGCATGACCTGAGCCAAAGTCGGACACCCAACTGACTGAGCGACCCAGGCACCCCTATCGTGACAGATTTTTTTTTTTTTAAATAGAATTCACACACTTAACCATACAGGGACAGATTTACCTTTCTCTAACTTTATCCCATTAGTTGTTCTTTTCGCAAAAGGAGCAGGCACTAATACTGAGAGAGGTGAAGAACCCCTGAGTGTGGCTTTCAGAAAAAAGTTCAGTTTTCCTCAAATGAACAAGTAGACATCATTACTAATTATCAGAATTTATTTGTAGAAGAAATATTGCTCTCTGGAACTTAAACTTTTTCTAATCTATATTTAGCTTTTTACTGAAATATAATATTCATATAGAAAAGCATAATATACATAATATACATACAGAAAAGCATACAAATCCTAAGTGTACAGTGCATGGGGAGATGAGTTTTCACGAATGGAACACAACTATGTAACTAGCACCCAGAATCAAGAAATAAAACATCACAAGCCTTCTAAAGCCGCCTTTGCAGCTCCTTTCAATTGCTACACACATGCCATTTTCCTAACTTCTAATACCACAGATTGTATCAAGTTCAGAAAAAGGCAAGACTAAATAGTTAAAGAGTGTGTACCCTCATGTCTGGCTTCTTTGTTCATTGCTGTTTGTGACAGTCTTCAAGTTGTTGAGTGAAATTATGGTCCAGTCATTTTTGTTGTTATTTAATACTTGTGTGGATATATCACAAATTATTGATCCTTCTGCCACTGGACATTTGGATGGTTTCCACTTTGGGTCTATTCTGAGTCGTGCTGCTGTAACATTCTTGCACATTATCTTGTCAAGACATGTAGACTGGAATACATTGGTGTGAAATACATTTCTCTATAGGTTCCTATCTAAGAGCAGTAATTGCTGGCTTACCGGATATGTGTATGTTCAGCATTAGTAGTTATGGCCACACTGCTTCACATCCTAGCCAACGCGTGGTATTTTTTGGGTTTTTCATTTTCACTATTCTAATGGGAGTATGGTAGTATCTCAGTGTAGTTTTACTTTGCATTTTTTCTGAGAATCAGGAAGTTTATTATCACGTTTTCGTGGAATCTTAGGTATTATGGTTCAGATACCAATTTCAACATGTGGACAGGGAGGTATCCCACACAGTGCCAAGTAATTCTCCAGACACCACCTGGTGTCCTACAATTCAACTCAACTCGGACACTATTACCCAGAGGCAGCATCAGACTCCACAGATCAAGGGCTCAGTCCTACAAGACTACCTCTTGGCCCCTGCCCCACTTCAGACACCAAGTCACAAGCCCAGGTTGTGATCAGAGGTTCCCATGACCCTCTCCTCAGATTCAGTTAATTTGCTAAAGCAGTTCACCAAACTCAAAGAAACATTTTCCTCAGTAAATTAACAGTTCATTATAAAAAGGATATAACCCAGAAACAGCCAAAAAGAAATGAATAGGGCAAGGTATGGGGGAGGGTTCAGAGCTCCTATACTCCCTTGGAGCACCGGACTTCCCCAAATCCCCCTGTGCTCACCAACACGGATAGTCTCTGAAGCCTTTTTTTTTTTTTTTTTTTTTTTTTTTTACGTTCGCTTCTTACAAAAGCATGGTTGATTAAATCACTGACCACGGCTGATGGATTCAACCTCCAGCCCCCTCCCCGCCTGGAGGTTTGTATGGGGCAGGTATCAAAAGTTCCAAACCTCTAATCACAAGGTTGGCTCCCTAGGCATCCAGCCCCCATTGTGGTTGCTAACGGCTTCCCCAGAGTTGTCTCATTAACATATCAAAGACATGTTTTCCATTCCAATCACAAGAAACTCCAAGGGTTTTTAGGAGCTCTGTGCCTGGAAGTAGGTTGAAGACCAAATATGTATTTGTTACTATAAATCACAACATTACAACAGGCCATTTTCATGTGACTAATTCTCTACTAACCTCCATGAAACAGGGAGATGTGTGTCTTGTTCATCAGTTCATTCTCTTCCATACTGTCTATACTTAATAGGAGTTGAGTAAGTAAGTTTTCTGACCCATACTCACCTCAGCTCATCTTCCAATTCTACTGCGTCTTCCACAGTGTCTGCACACTTTTCCTTGTGAAAGCTGACAATACTGTTCTCATGCTTTAAGACACATCAGCCTGGAACTCCACCCACCTCAGGACAATATTCTGTCTCTTCAGTATGGCATTAAAGT